TCCCCCTTTCTCCAACTGCTCATGGGCACCAGTTGTTTCCTGCCTTCGAGGTGTGTGTGTGTGTGTGTGTGTGTGTGTGTGTGTGTGTGTTAGCTGCCCTAACAGCTGCGGGGCAACCACTCACTGTGGCTTTTATTTCATTTCTATGACCACTGATGTTGAGCATCTTTTCACATGTTTATCGGCCATTTTTATAATCTTTCTTAGAGAAATGTGTATTGAAATCCTTTGCCCACTTCTGAATTGTTTTGTTTTGTGTTCTTGAGTGGTAGGATTTCTCTGTCATTCTGGATTTACTCCCACATCAGATGTCACATTCCTGTCAAAAAGTGGGTTGCTTTTTTTTTTTTATTGTGTTGTGTTAGTCACCATACAGTACATCGTTAGTTTTTGATGTCATGTTCCAATATTCATTGTTGATGCACCACACCCCGTGCCCCATGCCGTACATGCCCTCCTTAACACCCACCGCCGGCTCACTCTGTGAGTTGTTTTTGTGCTCTAAGGATGGTGCCTTTGATGCAAGAATGCTTTGATTTTCATGAAGTCCAACTTGTGTATTTTCCTTTTGTTGCCTGTGCCTTTGCTGTCACATGCAAGAAATCGTTGTTAAATCTAATGTCATGAAGATTTTGTCTTGTTTTCTTCTAAGTTACTGTTTTAGGTCTTACATGTAGGTTCTTGGTCCATTTTGAGTTCATTTTTCTATGTCAATTAGGTAAGAGTTCAGATACACTCTTCTGCATGTGGATACTGTTTTCCCAGCACCTTTCATTGAAACACCTGTACTTTCCTCCATTAAATGGTCTTGGCCCCCTTGCTAAAAATCATTTGATTTTCAACATGATTTGATTTGAAGTCATTTTTCAATGATTTCAATGAAATCAATGATTTCATTGTTTTCAATTGTTTTCCTTCAATGATTTCAATGAAATCAATGATGATTTGAAAATCATTTACCATATATATCAGGGATTAATTCTGGGTCTTATGGTTTCTTTGTACTCGGTTTATCTATATTGGGTATTATGGCAATACCATACTCTTTTGGTTACTGTAGCTTTGTAGTTAAGTTTTGAAATGGGGGGGAGGTGAGTGCTTCAGTTTTATTCTTCTTTATTAAGATTATTTGGACTATTTGAGGTCCCTTGAGACTCCATATGAATTTTAGGTTTGGCTTTTTCCCATTTCTGCAAAGATGTCATTGGGACTTTGATAGAGATTAAATTGAATCTGTAGATTTCTTGGGTAGTATTGAGATTTTAACAAGATTAAGTTTTCTAATCCATAAACATTTTAAAAACTGTAAGTACATTTCTATTTATTTACATCCTTTTAAACATTTATTTCAGCAATGTAGTTTTCATTGTACAAGTTTTCAACTTCCCTGTTTAATTCCTTAGAATTTCCTTTTTTGATGCTATTATAAGTACAAATGTTTTTGTAATTTTCTTCTCAGATTGTTTGTTAGTATATAAATATGAAACTGATTTTTATATATTGGCTTTGTATCCTGCTACTTTGCTGAATTTAATTTTTCATTCTAAGAATTTGTGTGTGTGTGTATGTGACCACCAACTTTAGGGTTTCCTATGTATAAGATCATATCATATGCACGCAGAGAAAATTTTACTTCCTTTTTTCTCCCCCAAATTGGATGCCTTTTATGCCATTTTCTTGCCTAAATGCTCTGATAGAACTTCCAGCACTATGTTAATAGAAGTAGTAAAGCAAGATTTCTGCCTTGTTCCTCATCTTAGAGAAAGAAATTTCTTTCATCATTAAGTATAATATTTACTCTGGGTTCACAAATGGCTCTAATTAATGTTGAGATGGTTTTTTTCTATTCCTAGTTTGTTGAGTGTTTTTATCATGAAAGTGTATTGTCTTGTCAAATATTTTTTCTGCATCAATTACAATGAGCCCTTTTTTTTTTTTCTTCTTCATTCTGTGGATGTGGTACATTACTTTGATCAAACTCCATATGGTAAACCATCCTTGCATTCCAAGAATAAATCCCACTTGGTTACGGTATATACAGTTATTTTCAACATGCTGCTGAGTTCTGTTCACTGGCATTCTGTTCACTTATAGAGTGAGTTAGGGAGTGTTCCCTCCTCTCTGATTTTTGGGGAAATGCTAAGAAGGATTGGTATTAGTTCTTTAAATGTTTGATTAGTGAAGGCATCAGGCCCAGGGCTTTTGTTTTTTGGGAGATATTTGATTATTGATTCAATCTCCTTCCTAGTTCTAGGTCAGATTTTCCATTCTTCATGATGTAGTCTTGAGAAGTTTTGTGTTTCTAGAAATTTATCCAGACTGCTACTATATTTGTAATACTTACATAAACTCACATATATCACGATAATTTCTTACTCCATAAGGTATTGTGTAGAAGTATTATTGTAAGTGGTTGGATAATACTGTCTCATGGGGTATCACACATCACCTCTCCCTTCCTTCTGTTGTTGAATGACTGGACTTCAACTATCTGTCTGCAGTGAAAGTCCTCATACTGTGCACGCATCTCTTCTTGGTTCCTTGGGGTAAATTCTTAGCAATAGAGTTTGTGGATCACTGGGTCCATAAGCACCTTCTCCTGCTCTGACCAAGTCTTTTGAGGAGACACAGGAAGGAAATTAGGTCAAAGTTTAAGCTACAAAGTGAGCAACAAGAATACTTTACTTAGGCAATTTTCTTGTTATTATTTTATTATTCCGGTTCCATTTTTCCAGTAAATTATGTTTAATGGGTAGAAAATTATGGATATAAATATAATTAGCTTTGTCCAGTAGCAATGTCCTAAATACAACTTTATTTATAGTAGTTTAACTTCTACTCTTAGGTCGTTCAGTTCTCATATGTGAATTTACTAATTGTATTTAAAATTTGATAAGCAGCTAACTTAAAACCATCATCAGCAAAATAATAGATTTAACATTTAGTGAAAATTTGCTCTGTGCCAGAAGTAGTGCTAAGCTCTTTACGTACACGATCTCATTAACTTAACAGAAACCTTAGCAAAGTGGGTACAGTCAGCTCTGATTGACAGATGAGCCACCGAAGGCGCTGAGAGGCCCGAATCCTGAAGTCCGCAGAGGAAGCAGAGCGGAAACCCAAGCCTAGGCTGCTCCGAGGAGCGTTTATCGAGCGCTCAGTGTCAAGCAATGAGCGGTCTGAGCTATAAAATGAGACTTTGTACAAATGACAAAATGAAGTCCCTGAAAGGTTTGTTATGTGTCCAAAAGAACTTAGTGAATAAATAAGTCAGTTAGCTCAGACGTCGCAGGGGCCCATGCTCAGGAGCTCTCAGGACTGCTGTAACTGCACAAGAATAAGTACAAATTAGACAAGGGCAGACACTTTGGACTAAGCAATTAAACATATATTTTCCCTGCTCTGACTGAAAAAAGACCATGCTGCCTGAGGGGAAAAAAATGCTAGACTTTGGGCTCCCATCAGCTGTGGGAAACAGTGTGTCCAACCCAGCATCCTGCCCTCTCTAAATCTCTCTCTTACTCTATGACCCCCCCAGCCCATCATGGATCATAGGCTTCTTTTTCCGAGACTATAACATCTTCCCAGGATACTATCTGGTTAGTCTGGTTCTCGGAGACCTGGTTTCTTGCCGGGCTCTATCCCTGACTATGAGGTTTACCTTCACAGGGAGGAAAGGTCTAAAGGCGCATTTGGCACAAGCTCGCTGCGGTTCTCTGATCATGAGGGCATCGTGGTCAGTCCGCTGGCGACTGCTGACCCACCACCAGCCCCTTTTGGTGTTCCCTGGCCCTGAAGCGGTGAAATGAGACCTGCCCCAGACCCTAAGAACCCTCCAGTCCGCCATCCACAGGCTGCTGTGTGGCACTCAACCACAACCCTGAAAGGTCCATATACCTTGGAGCTGGCTTTAACACAAGAGATAAAATGGACATTTCACTCCTCCAGCAAATACTTTGTCTTTTGCCCAACTTTTGGAAATAGTGGAATTTTGGAAATATTTTATCTTACACTTTTAGCATTCCTAACCTGACCCACTGCCCTGGTGAACGGGTCCCCGTTGCCTTGGTTACAGTAAAATTAGCAGACATTCCGGGTTTTTGGTCGGGTTTTCCCCCAACTCCCTGGGTCCTCGCCTCTGCCACCAGCCTGCTCTTCCCATGAGTCTCTGCCCCCGGTGGTCTGGTCTGGGCTGACCCATGGCTGGTCCCTGCTGTGTTCCCAGATTCTTTTTTACCGGACGCATAGCCTAACCCTGTGCTGCGATGCGTCTTCGTTCCTTTCATAACCGTTTCCTTTCTGGTAAGAGTACGTGCTCTGAGCAGACCTTAGAAAATGAAGCAAAGTGAAAAGTTTCGAAACACGCCGAGGTCCCTTTAAGAATTCAAAGGACTTAGGACACCTGCTCTGGGGGTGGGGACCGCCGGGTCCCTCTGCCCTACCCACTCCGGAAGTACCAGCGTCCAGCGGTGACCCAAGGCAGCCCTGGCGGGGAGGAGGCGGCTGATACCTGGGGCTGAACCAGCTCGGTAGTTCCCGGGTCCTCCGCCCAGGGGCACAGCCCGGGCTTTCCTGCGCCGCAGAGCCCCTCCGGGTTGCGCGTTGCCTTAGCGCGGTCCGCCCCGCGGTCCCCTCCGGAGCTTGGCTGCGCCGCTGCGAGCGGGGGGCGGGGGCGGGAACGGGACGCACCGACCCCGCGGGAGGTGAGAGGCGGGGCCGGGCGGGAGGTAGGGGTGGAGCCCGGCAAGGGGGCGGTGCCGAACCCGGAGCTGCGCGGGGAGGAGGTGAGGGCGCGCGGGGAGGAGCCGGGGGCGCGGTGGGTGGGGGGTGCTGGGGCCAGTCGCGGATAGGTGCGGACTCGGGTTAGCCAGACTCTGGACCCGTGCGGGCTGGCGCGGGCGCCCTTCCCACCCCGCGCGGACTTCGGAACTGGCCAAAGACGCGCAGGAGCCGTCGGCGGAGCGCGTTTCCACGGGGCGCGGAGCACAAGCGGAGCCCCGAGGATGCGAGCCCTGCCAGCCCTGGACGCGCCCCAGAACGAGCGACTGCTGACCCGGGACCCCGCGGCCCCCAGGGTCCGGGACGCGGCGGGGCCAGCACGCAGGAGCGCCGTGGAGAGGCTGGCGGCCGACCGCGCCAAGTACGTGCGGGGCCCTCCGAGAGCCGGCGCGGGCCCAGCGGCCGCGGGCAGCAACCCCGCGGCGAGCGAAGGGACCGCGGGCGATCCTCGGCCTCCGCCTCGCGTCCCCGGTGCCGTGGCGCGCAGGGCCATAGCTCGGAAGCCGCTGAGGCCCGACTCGCTGGTCATCTACCGGCAGAAATGCGACTTCGTCCGAGGCCAGGGCGCAGACAGCTCCAGGGCGGGCCTGGTGAAGAAGCTCTTCCAGGGCCCGGGCAAGGACAAGACGTCGCTGCCCCCGGAGACGCCCCAGGTGGGAGAGGAGATCGGGGCCAGGCGCGAGGAGCCTGTCCCGTCCAAGCCCGGCTCTGCGGCGGCCTCCGCGGCCCCCCGCGTTCCCGCGCCCCCGGCGCGCCCAGCACCCTGTGGGACGCCCTCCCCAGTGCCGGCTGCGCCCCGGGGCCCGGAGCTGCAAGGATCGAGGCGGGGGCTGCAGCGGTCGCAGTCAGACCTCAGCTGCCGCTACTCTGCGTCCTTGGCCGAATGGGACACCTTCTTCCAGTTCTGCGGCCTGGAACCGGAGGTCGTGGAAGCTCTCGGGAGGGAGAACTTCTCCGCGGGGTCGGACCGCGTCACACTCAAGGTCCGCAGCGTGAGCGTCGCCACCTCCGACAGCGGCTTCTCCCGGCAGAGCGGCAGCGACGCGGGGCTGCAGGAGGAAGGGCTGGCGGAGCAGGTGCCCAGCACCACCTCGGTGGTCGAGAGGAACGCCCGCATCATCAAGTGGCTGTACACCTGCAGGAAAGCCAGGGAGAAGCCCGGCCAGGCGCTGCAGGGCCCCGCGTGATCGCTCGCGCTCTGCGGAGACCTGGACCCCAGGTGTGCATCCGGAAAGCCCGGGAGGGGTGTTTTGTGTGTGCGTGTCTGTGAGGGCTTGGTGAGTGTGGCCGAGCTGGATGGATCCAGCCCTCTGACGTTGCAAGGGACCCTAGATATGAAGACCCAGAGGCTCATGCGCCCAAGGGACCGCTGCTGAAAGAGCAGAAGGGCCATCAGTCCAGGTCCCCTGCAGGGACAGAACACTTTCTTCTGAGTGTTTTGCTTCTAACTGCCTGGAAATGTAGTCTGAGAAGAGGAGAAGTTAGAGTTTCAAAATGTTCAGAGAACATTTTGTACCCCTGCTGTGATTTCTCTCCTTGAAAATAGCCTGAGAGCTCTAGGGGCTGTGTGGATTGACCTGGGGGCATCCTGAGGTTGGATCAGAGCGTCCTGGCCCACCTGTAGCCCTAGGGTGGGACAGACAACCCCGCTGCGGCAGGACAGAGGCTCTGAGCTTCTTGCTGGAGGCCCTCATCAAACCTGGCAGAGAGGGAGAACTTCTTTACAGAATTTACCAGTTCGGCATTCATACAGCCGCACAGGTTTCCATGTGGCTGTATTTTGTCTGAGTTGTCTTGAGAGCTTTTAAGGAGAGTTTTAGTTCACAAGAAGGAGCATCAGTTTGTTGAACTGGGGCCTGACTTGGTTGTTGCTGGTGTTTTAGAACTCTGCAGGGCTATGATTCAGTGGTTTATGTACCTCATATGATCGTACGGGAGATAAATCTCTTCCCCCTGGACACCAGTAGCACAGGGTTGATCTCAAGTTCTTTTTCACTGAGGAACTGAGGAATGCTTATCCTTAGTGACCTCTACTCTTACTTCCAAGAACATGTGGAGAGGACAATTTGGGGGTAAAGAAGGGAGAAGAGAAGGTACCTTTTTGGGGTTCTCCTTAGGAACCAAGAATTTAAACATTGTACCATAATTTTTCTCTTTCCCTTCAATGACAACTTGCTATAGATTAAAGCAAAATTCACAAGATGGAAGTATTTTGTCTGCCTCTGATATAAACTAATCAAAGACCCGGTATCAGTCTTCACAGTGGGGAGGACGCTGCAAGGCCTGATTGCTCACAGCTCACCTGTTGGAAGACTGAGTGGACAAAGGCCTAACTTCCTTGAGTATCCATGGTCTAAGTACAGACTTGAAAATTAACAAGGAGAAATAGATTGGATTCAGAAGAATCATGACTTTTTTCCATATAGTTTATTGAATATTGTATTTTTCACCAGCCTTAGACTCTATATAGGCAGTCAACATTTAAATTAAGAATAACAACACATTAGCTTGTGCGTTTCACAAACTGGTTTTTGAAACTGAGCTGACTACACTCCTCCAAGCCACCATGAACGCCTCTGTGTCAAGGAGGAAAGTTGTGGGAATGGCATCGTTCCGGAGGGACATGGTCCAGTAGACAGAGCACTAAAGTGGGGGGACTGGGAGTGTCTTCCAGTGGTAATCCCTCCTCTACCTTAGCCTCCCGTTGTCCATCAAATGAAGACCTCTATTCTTTTCGATTCTGTATAGTTAATAATCTGTGTATCTGTGTTTTATGATTGGAGCCTGGAAAAGGAAAACAGAAGACCATTTTCTTTTTTTTTTTAAGATTTTATTTATTTATTTGACAGACAGAGATCACAAGTAGGCAGAGAGGCAGGCAGAGAGAGATAGGAGGAAGCAGGCTCCCTGCTGAGCAGAGGGCCCGATGTGGGGCTCGATCCCAGGACCCTGACATCATGACCTGAGGTGAAGGCAGAGGCTTTAACCCACTGAGCTACCCAGGCGCCCCAGAAGACCATTTTCTATCGGGTATGTAAACAGTGAACTTAAACTAAGTTCCCTTCAGGTTCCCAGCTTTGTGCTGTACTTTTCTCACAAAGGGGAGGTAGAATTGGTGGGTATAAATAGTACCAAGGTAATGAGATGATGCACAAAGAAAACAAATTAAATCCTGACAGCGTGAAAACCAACACTCTCCCTTCTGACCCCTCCAGACCCAGACGCACCACCCTCTTCTCCAGGCTCCAGTGTCAAAGCGGGGGGACCTGCCAGAGAATTTAAGGTTCCCTCTAGGAATTAACCCTCCGAAGCCCCTTTTAGGTTTGAGCCTAAGAAGAATCAAGAAGTTGGGTTAGGTTATGAGAACATAAACTTTTATGACAAAGGAAAGTCGTTGAGGCAAGAGGAACAAGAGGAAGGGTTAGGAAACTGCCAGCATGAATCTTTGTGGGAGAGTAGAGGTTTCCCTCTCCCTTAATCCCGCTGATTCCAGTGGAAGACAGTGTCCTCTGCCTTCTGAGCTGTTTGTTTTTGCTCAGAGAAGGGAGAGGATGTGACCCGGAACCCGCTGCTGCTGTGTCTCATTGCCTGTCACCAGCACTGTTAACATTTGCCTCACAGATTTGCTCCATTAAAACCATTGTTCGTCTTCTTCGAAATTCATTACTAGAGACCCGAAGGCTGGCTCCTTGCATGGTCCTGGAGGAAGTGAGCGCCCCTGGGCTTCGTGCAGCTCAATGGGACTGTGCGATGTCTGGCACGACCATAGACACTCAACTCAGCACACCTGGGTGGCAGGCAGTCTCTTCAGGGGAAAAGCCAGCAGAGAGAGCAGCACCCAAAGCACAGAGCGCGGCAGCCACCACCTCCCCTGGCGAGGGTCAGCCAGCAGCTCAAAAAGAAAGGCAGATGACCTGTCCTCACAGGGGGTTTCATAACTTCTGGAAGCTGTGGAAGCAAGAATTCAAGAAAGTAGTTTTCCTTTAGTTTATCACAATATTTGTGCCAGGATCCATATATATTCATTTTAGGATTCCATGAAAATTTCAGAAAATCTGAGATGAACAAATGTGTACTTTCTAAGTGGAAAGGAAAACAAATATATTTTATATAGAGGCCTTTGTTCCTTGGGTAGAGATAAATTAAAATAAAAATAACCCATCCAAAGTTAAATAAGTTCAAACTCATGTAAAGTAAAAATGCATGCTTTTCAAAATTGATGCTCTCTGGGCTAGAGAATAGCTCACAGAGTCTGTGTGCAAGCCCGCCGGGGGTCCATGAGTGGTAGTTCCTGGGGGATCGTGGCGTTCTGCACCCCAGTGCGTGACGCCTGAGGACTCGCCTTCACTGCTGGGGCGAGTCATCTCTGTCCTTCGGTTCATTACAACAGTGGGGCTGCCCGGACTTAGTCTCTCTGGTTCTCTCTTTCCCGTAGAATATAGAAGTTACTGATGTTAGTGTTATTGCAAAAGAATGGTAACGTGTTCTTTGAGCTAATTAGGGATGAATGTTGTTCAATTTCATGGCAAAATCTCAGATATTCTCACATTTCTCATTTCTCTTAGATACAGGACGGAGCACCCGTGGACATGCCCTATAAGCTGGTGGGGTAGAGCGTGTCTCTTTGTTTGCGAAGAGGCCGTGGGGGATAGGACAAGCTGTGATGCTCCTGACTTTCTGCTCCTTTTGTTTGGACTAGCTGAGAGGCTCTCCAGTCTCCATGTGAGAGCGCACTTTAGGGGAACCAGCAGCTGGAGCAGCTAGAAGGCCGCTCTGCTCTGTCTTCGGGTGGGCCCCTGGGCCTTTCAGAGAGATTTGTGCGTGGAAAGGGTGGAACCCGTTTGCCTTCTCCTATGTATTTGGACCGCCTGCCTTGTATTCAGTGTGTCATCCCGCTCTGCGGTGGTGAGCAGCGGGCTGGCCTACGAGAAAGATCACTTTCTCACTGTCCCGTGAGTTGGAGGCAAACGGAAACTTCAAAAGTGCAGAAAAAGGCCTCAGGGAGATGGATGTTTCTTCTGCTGCAGAAACCAGATACCTGTCTTTGCAAAGGCTACTGGCTTCTTTTCAGAATTTAAAATGCAGAAGGTACCACAGAAGCAAAGACTGCGGGGACCAGACTTTGTGGTACAACCTTGGCCTAGACTGACGTGTTGGTTCACTGCTTTTTCCTTACTCCACAGGAAGTGAGGTTTCCAGACTGTGGGGGCTCCTTGAAGTATGTCCTGGATGACTGGGGACCTGGGGCCATCCTCAGTGCCACAGGACCTGTCCCGTGCACCCAAGTGACCACACAATTGCTGCTTTCCTGGGAACGGAGCACCCCACTGAAGAGACGTACAGAGTTCAGAAGGTTTGAGATATGGTGGAGAAAGGGGACCTTGGAACTTGGAAATCAGCTGAGTTCTGGCTGTTAAGACAGCTAGAGCTCGGGGAGGTACTTTCTTGTTTGAAGCGGATCTGGTTTTGCTCCCAGAGGGCAGCAGAGGAGGGAAGGCTTCTTGGAAATGTTTTCAGGGCTCTCTGTTTGACTGGCTTGGTGACAAAGAGGTATCATGATGCATTGTAATGATATTTAAATTGATTTTAAAAAGAAAAAAAAGTCCAAGAGTAGGAAAGCCAAGCACGGATACCATAGCATTTACTGCTTTTCATCAGTCTGGGCTGTTGGGCCCCAATTAAACCAAAGTTCTGTAGCCGTGAGAAGGTGTATTGTACTTCAGCAGTGTGGGTAGCAGAGAGCAAACACAGTAACACGCTCTCATGGACACCTCCGTTCTGAGCATCACTGCCACCAAAACTGCAGAAAGTACTCTTAAAGTAATTTTAGTAATGCCACTCCCATTGGGTTGCAGATGTGTGGACGTGCCATTGGAAGGGAAGTTGGAGTTGATACTGCTAAAAATGCCTTTTTGGGAGCTGGCAGGAGACCTAGGAGCTCCCTTCCCTGGCAGCATGACAGTACACCTCCACAGGGCTCTGGTTCCCCAACTGCCCAAAGCTGGGAGAGCCCAGGGTCCACACAGCCCAGCTGTTTAACCCCCACCTCTGTGGATCACGCAGTCATCCCCGGTTTGGCACCAGCTCACCCTTTTCTGCCCAGGATGTGTCTGAGATGAGGGGCAGCCTCAGGGCACCTGACTTCTCCAGGATCAGAACCCTGTGGGTGAGGAGTTACTGACTCTCGCCCACTCCTCACACCCAGACCACGCAGATATCAGATTCAGAGCCTGTGGAGAGAAATTTTATATCCATGATGACAACCCGGAAGACTTTGTAACCCAGCTGACTCTTCCAGAGCCTGCTGTGTTTTAATGAAATACATGTCCTCAGGAACAACATTATTATGGAGAAGAGTATGGAGGGGAGAAAGATGGTTTCTCAGTGGTAGAACATTTTATAAACCAATGCATTTTGATATGTTCATGTACTTGTTTAATATTGTGTTCGATTTTTGTAACTTCTACTGTGAGAGGGGTCTTTGAGCTACTTATTATTATTATTTTTTTTTTTCGCAGTTACTGGTCTTTAGATAGTTTGCCTTAACATCGTATGGTTTTAGTTTTTATCAGTTTTCCATCATTTTCTCCGCGCTTGTGTTTGTGTGTGTCATTTCATTGGATGTCCCACTCCTGTCTGTAAGCATAGTGCTCCCTGCTCTCTGTACCATAGTGATTTGTTTTCAAGTAAGTCACACGTAGGGATTTTTGGAGCCTCTGTTGGCCCGCGGATGTACCTTTCTCATCGTAGACTATTTAAAGACAACAGATCCATGCTTTAAGAATTTCCCCCAGTTGTTCCCCTCAAAAGGCTGCTATTTTAGGGTTCAATGGATTGCAGTTAGTTTAAAAACATAATGTCAAAGATGAGAGTTTTTTTTAAAGGGTCTCTACATATGCCCATTCCCTTACTTAAGGTGTTGCATTAATTGTACATGTCAGTGCTTCGGGCAAACCTATTTTGTGCCTTTCTACTCTCAAAGTAGGGTGAACTAGAACTATCATCATATTTGCCTTAGATCGGAATGGTGCAGACTCATAATTCATATAACAGATAAACGTATATATAGACAAGCTGGTTGCGTTTAAAAACACCAAGAGCTTCCGGAAGGATCTGTGTGTCCAAGGAGGTACGGGGAGGAATTCAGCCACAGGGAGTTCAGAAGCAGATGTCAGAGGCGGCTGCGAAGAGGAGGAACAGGGCGTCCCTGGGCTCCAACAGGACCAGTGATGCTCCCTTTCCTCCACTAAGATTCGTGCCTCAGGGTCAGGTCCCATGTGTGTGGGTACAGGTGAGAAGTCCCTTCTTAATCCTGAATGACCCGAGTTTGCTGAGTGACTTTGAGAACATCCAAATTTGAAGCTTGGTCTGAAAACAAATCCTGTAATTGTTTTTCCCAAGGATAGCAATGGTTACTGCTATGAAGTAGTTTCATTTGTTCATGAAAAGTAATATGATTAAACACAATGAAAAGAAAGAGTTATTGATAAAACAAGGAAAATAGCTAGATAGTGTCTATTTCTCTAATATATGGCTACAGATAAGCCGTGCCTCTGAGAGGTATTTGTGTTACTGTAAAGTTTCCTCGTTGTGTGTATATCTGTTAAACCACTGGTCACTGACACTGGAGGAAGAAGGCTTTATTAAACATTGCCCTTTGCAGTAGGTTCAGAGTTCAGTGCCATGGTTACGGTTGGTGATGCCACAAAACATCAGGCCCAGGCCGTTGTTACTGTCGTCTCATAACCACTACCTTGCTAGAGTGCAATGGTATGTATTCTGTATTAAAGAAATAAAGTATTTTTCTCATTTATTCCTGGTTATGAATCCATGACAGAGACACTGAAGCTAGAGTGTGCATATTGTAGTCACTCACGTCTCCTGTGGTCTCCCTTTCTCCCCGATGTCAGATTATCAGCTGAAATGAGGAAGCATCGTAGGCCGGTCCGGTGTAGGCAAGTCAGAGGGCGTGGAAGTCTCCGGCGAATGCATTCGTAACAGTCCGGGATATTTAGCACACTGTCTTTCTTTGTTTCATCAGTCTTTTGCTTCATAATATTTTTTACCCATCTTTATTAATTTCATATTGGAAAATGGGCACAAAGATAAATAAGAAAGCACAGTTTATAAGGTTTCGTGTTAGTGAATTCATCAGAGTTTGAAGAGTTTGAAGGCAGACTCTGTGAACACCAAGTTTGCTCTCAGCATCTGCTCAGACTGGAGAGGTAGGAGCGAGGCAGGAAGGGCGGCTGGATCCCTAAACCCAGCCATGCTGAGGTCAACTGGCTTCCTTTTCAGTCCTTCCGTGGCTTCTGCCCAAACCTAGGCCAGCCTCTAAAGACAGGCATTCTTTGGAGAAGAAATGAACCGCTCTGCATTTCCATGAAGACAATGGACAACCCCCAGGCACCCTAGGAGTGGTCTTAGGTAGCTCTAGAAACAGTCCTGATCACACAGCAGATGCCAGGTCCTTCCTTCAGGTAAACCTGAGTTCTTACCTTTCAGTTACCCTTTGTGAAAACTCAGCAAAACAGAGGCATCACTTAAAGTGAGGTGTTTAAACTTCGCTTGCATTTTGAGTAATGAAATAGATTTATGTATTTGAACGTTCCACGTTGGAAACACTGAACAAGAAGGAAATTGAGTTCTCAAGCAAGTTATCCTTCTGGCCACAGAAGTATCCGGGAGCAGTGCAGAGAGAAAATGCAGACACACCAAAAAATGTGTTCCTACCCAGTGATACTTTCTTCATTATCTACATTTGCATCTACATTACTTTCTACATTATCTTCATTATGTCTGCTACAATACCCAAATTCTTCCATTGTCGTCATGTCATCTCCTTGAAAATTGTCATAAAATTAGAATTCTATCTGAAAGGGAGAATGCATTAAACCATTGATATCTATTCCTCTTTAGGTCAAAATAGAATATTGATTTCCTTAGAAAAAGTAATTAGTAATTAATTAGTTAATTGCTAATTAGTTTCCTGAACCACAGGAACAGAAATGGAAAGCCCTGGATTTTGGCCTCAGTGTACCCTGAAGTATGGTCAGTTTTTAGCTTAAGTAGGACTCTTGGTTACAAGTGCCAGAACAGGACACCGCACTGCCAGCTAACCCTGTTCTGCTGTCCACCTGCTGGTGGTATGGGGACGTCTGTGCTCCTGAGCAGTGTTGATGGTCATCGAGGACAGCCCTCTCCGACAACAAGCACAATTCACCCACTCACATTTACTGAGGAGCCAAATGTGGCATGAGGCACCAGGGAGTCCCCAAGCTCCCTGCCACGATGGGTTGACATTCTTGGAGGGGTCAGATATCTCATAAGGACGGAGAGATGGATAGCTAGGTAGATGCATAGACGAAATACATGATAGAGAGACAGACAGATGACCACGACAGAAGACACACTGAAGGAAGGGAAGGAGCGACGGAGGGAGGGAAGAAAGGCGAGAAAGGAAATAGACGGACTGAGTGGCGCTGTGACCCTCGTGTATAAATTTCGATAGGACCATTCTGGTTTATGGTTTCTGTGTGGTGGCCCGACTGTCTGGACCACAAATGGAACTCACATGTCCAAATCATATTAAAAGAAGCAAGCAAGAGAGAAGGGAAACCTGCTGATCGTAAATGACACCTTCCCCCTGAGAGGCTCATTTTCATCCCCGAAGACCCTTCACCTCGGACGGCCACTAGCAGGTCTTGCTCACTGGGCGTCACGGCGTGTGGAAGTCTAAACTGACAAACAGCAGGTAACTGACGAACTGACAAACGTTGCAGGTGGGACTTAGGCTTGGTCTGTGTCCTGTCGGAAGCTTGTCAGTAAGGGACTGCAAGCCTTCCCTTGGCTTTGAGAGGAAGTCGCTTCACGGAGGGACAGAATAAAAAAAAGGCCACACAGCAAATAAGCAGGACCTGCAGGCCAGAGCAGGTCAGTCCCAGAGAAGTGGCCGTGTTTCCTCTGAACGGTGTCCGGAGCGTCTCTGGGGCTGTGGGGGTGAACAGCAGGCTGGGCAGAGCCAGGCTAACACTGCCAGCCCTTCAGGGTCATGTTCTTTCCGAGGCTGCAAGTCAGGACGGCAGCCTCCACAGCTCAGAAAGGAAGCACGTCCCAGGTGCCTGAGGGCATGCTCACACCGTTTCCCCTGGAGGCACGTAGGGGGTGCCGACAAGAGGAGGCTCACGTGGGCACAGAGCACTGGGTCAGGAGCGCAGAGGGTGAAGCCTGGATGGGACGCTGGAGATCACGTCCGTGGGGTACTCAA